AAATGCCTAGCAGCCATTCGAGAGATAGGGGGCCAGTGAATGAGCCTCTCCGGGTAGTCATCGAAATGTTTCCATCCATTGTGAGTGCACCGATGATATGCAAATTCAGGCCTCTACTGTTGGCTACTTTGACACAAGCCCTCACTCCTCTGGGCGCCAGACCAAGAGTACGTTTGCAGTAAAGGTTGAAGTTTGTTTCGTCGATCCGTATGAAGAACGTCGCCTCCCTTTTAAGTTTGAGAAAGTTTTGAATAAACTCATTTCATAATGCTTTGGTTTGATCATTCTTCATTCTTTCTGGAGTCTGATAGTTCTCCATAGTCATCAAACGGTCATCTAGGTGTCATACGATTGCAAACTTTGTGATGTTCTTTTCCATGTCGGCACGTACTCTGACTCGCATTTCGTGTAGTGTTAGAGTTGCCTCCTTCGCAGTCCGCTCCAGGATGTCATTAATCACTTCCTCCGACAGAATGCGCTTACGACCGCGCGCCTGCGTAGTATCCGGCTTCTGATCAAGAGAACGACAAATCCAGTAGGCAGTTTGATAGTTTACGTTGTTCACGGTTGCCCCGAGCTGCCAGTCGTCATCGTTGACTAAGGCATCCACGAGAAGGCATGCTGACCAGGCTGGAATGAAAGACATCCATTCAGTCGTGCGCTTATGTTCCGGCCACTCATTGCTCTCAGACCAATTGTGATCCAACCTAAAGAAGCAGGAGACTGTTTGTCTGATCTTTAACCACTGACCAACGTGGTAGTTCACAAGTCGCCCGGGGACATCACAGTATCGCGCAATGGGTCAACGAGGTACACAAACCGTCGCACCACGTTAAGGTCCTGTCATGTTGCGACGGGAAAGGCATCATCAGTACGCCGGTACATAGTACCAACGTTTCGCTGCGGCGCAACCAAAATCCGTCACACGTGTGTTAAGAAAACTGCGAGGGTCGCGTGGTCCCTACGAAGGCTCGAACCCGCACCCACGGATAAAAAGGCAGGCCTGTGCTCCATAAAGCTACCGGCCGGTTGGCCCTTAAGGTTACTGACTGGCTTAATCCAGTGTGCATTCGTATACTCCCTGCGTACCAACGGACCGGTGTTGGTACTAATACCTAGACGAAATGTGTGCCAGAAAAGCAAATATGCACGAGAAGAACATGAGGTGAGAGTGAGCACCAGCCTACACATACACAACAGCTGCGGAGATTACCCACCAACGCGCATGCATTGTGGAGGCGTAGCAAAGTGATCACAAACAGGTGTGAGAAGAGAATGAGGTACGAAACGCAGAACGCATCTGGATGCGTTTTCCCAGTTCTAGCCACACACACACACACACACACACAAATAGGAGTGGCTGCAGCTACCATGCGGATAGGCACTTAACTCAAGGTGCGACAAAAACGAAATCAAGCGAGTCGAGGTGAATAAACATGGATTGTGGGGCTACGCGGAAGTGAAGATCATTGAGGAAAGCTCAAGGCATGAATCTAATGGAGAAGAGGCAGACATCACACAGTCCAGTTCTGTTAAACAATCATCACTCGATGACCCAAGTACGATGGGACCAGTTGCCACGACTCTCTCCTAATTGGTCAGGCGGATAGTAATGTGGGTTGCTTAAATCTAGAGTGATTTGTCCATCAGATCGTGAATCCGTGATACTTCTGCGGATGACGCCTAATGATGTACCTCAGCTGTCGTCGCATTGCTGTGAAGTCGCTCGGCACGCTTTGCATTTTTTCTGTTGCGATCAGTACTTAGTGGTCCAAACCCCACATGTGCCTTTTCATTTCTGATCGGAATTCGGGTTCCGCATGAAAATGCTACGGAACCATTGTAAGCACACGGCGAAAGGACCAATGGCTCAAGTGGGGAATTAGGTGCGACATTAGCATAACTCATGAGGTCTTCAGTAGTTCTTTGCCAGTCATCCTAAGTCCATGAGATTCACAAACGGTGTGAAAGATGGATAAGGAAGCGAATAATGTGACCCGACCTATGCGGGCAAATGACATCCCTCGGCTTCCAAGTGTGGAAAAGGAATTCGCTTGAAGGATTCCAGTTACAATCATGAATCAATAATCTGATCCACAAAACATCAAGATTCAGATCCGATTCTGAAGTGCAAGTGCATATTCCAAGTTCAGTACAATTGATCAACTGTGATTCGAGCACCGAAGTGCAGTGGATCCAGTTACCATGACTCACATCGCAAGAATAACAATAAATAACAACGGCAAGATAGTGGGGGTGAATGTAACTAGAAGGTTAAAATACGGAAGCAAGAAGGAACTGCGTTAAATTTATGTGAATGGGACGAAAAGTAACAACCAGATGCAAGAAACGGAAAGCAAGAACGAGAGTGACTGCGCGACTGCACCACGTCTGGTACGGCCTCCAACCATTGGTGTGAACCGTCCTGAGGCCCCCATCCAGGAAGACGGCACGCAGCAACCTCACCAAGTCTCCAAGTCAATTTCTTCAAGCTTCTATGCCATGCTATGGACTGGCCGCCTCGCGGTTTCGCCTAACTTGGTGAAGCCAAGGCGTATAATGCACACCGAGGAAGCCGGTCAAGGGGCATAAGGAGGACATAACCTAGCCAACGTAAGCTATTTAGACTCGGCAAATACTCGAATGAGGCACCAGAAGGTTTCATGCCAAAAACCAACTGGAGGATCACAAGATTGTTCACCCGGTGTTCCCACCAGACGTGAGCAATACTGCGTAAGCACTCGTGGTCAAGCACGGCCAAGCGTTTAATGTCTTCGTCGCGAACTCGCCTTAGAGAAGACCGGCCTTAACGAAACGTTATACACCCTACCTTTCACTGACAGGCTGACAGCCCACACGGGCCTTGCTGAGACGTGAAGTAAGTTTCTCAGTGATGTGACCACCAGAGGTGACACTGTTACCAAGGTAAGTGAACCGATCCAGCACTTCCATTGGCTGCTCGGTTATAGCTAGAATTGGAGGTGGATCGATCCAGTCATGCAAAAGTACATTGCAGTTTGAAGATGAAAAGCGTATGCCGAAGCGTGCGCTGCTACGTACTAGTCTATCCCGCAGTGTTTGCATCGCCACTGCGTCAGACCCACGAAGATCTATATCGTTGTTATACTCCAGGTTTGTCAGTCGGTCACGTGATAGAAATTCCATTCCGGTAGAGTTTGTAAGAACCGATTGGTTCATGATCACTTCGAATACAAAGTTGAAGAGGAAAGGAGATATAGGACATAGGCCTGCGGTCAGGTGTACACACTTTTGGAATATCTGAGGCGGTTTGTCGCGGAATTGCAGGGTATATCTTCGGACACGGGCAGACGCCGTTATACCATAGTGGCAAAAGCCTACATTTCCTGAGGCGGATGGTAGAAAACTGGGGAATAATAACTGCATTCTGCTGCAGCATTGGAGAGAAGGTGGTGCACGTCAATGGACACAAACTACCGAAGCTCATGAATGAGCGATAAGGGAAGTGGTGAGCTACAAGCCTCATCCATAATGTCTAATGAGGAAGATTCTGAGACAGTCTAGTTAACCTAATGCAACTGTCGCGTCCGGTATGAGTAACCTTGGAGGCAAAGTGGAAAAATATAGCAAATATTAGTGACTAAATCACAATTAAAACCAACGAATGAAGGTAGGCTTGACACATGTAGTCGAAAGGAGAACAGAGCTCGAACACGTGAAATCAGCCCACCGCGATGAAGCCGGTTCATTCCCAACCAGAAAGCAAGAATCTCAAGGGAAGGCAGCGACGAATGCAGGGAAACGAAAGTGGAACAAGCAGCTTGGGTGGTTGTAATGAATGGCACCAGATGGACAACACAGACACAGCGATTGCTAGGCCAACAGGCGTTATACCGATAAGGGTAACCGGTCGGTAGGGGGTGGGCAGTTGCCAAACACCAGATGACGCTGGATTCTAATCTTTGCTGCAAGATTCTACAAGATGTGTGTGTCGAAACCTAGTGCCATTGTCATTACTCAGGAAGGGTATAAGGTTGTAAGAACGTCGAATGAATGCCAGCATAAATAAACCGACGTCTAGGGGACCGGGTGATACGGCATATGCCGATGAGGTGGGAAGGAAATCACTGAAAAAGGTAGTGGTGAATGCCTCGAGAAATTCCAATCTACTTCACCTCAGGCATACAATGCAAGTCCATTCGTAGAGTGTACCGTCGGACCACAAAGTGGGCATGAACACGTGACTCGGTTGTGCTGAATACAGTCAATCAGCAAATTAGTACTGTACGAAAAGACGCAGATAGTATGCGTAATTATTAGATGAAAAGCCCTGGGAACCAAAATGCTGTGTACCTGATTCATGGATAAAGCTAATGAAGTTACGTAAATGAAGCAAGGTAGGTAATATGTGCATAGCGCAGATTACAGGAATGCAATCTGCTAGTGGGGGCAGTGGGACAGTTTAAAATCGGAGTAATGGAAAAGAACGCGCAGTCAACAAATCAGATAACCTGTTGAAAGGCATGAGATAATCATCCTTCCAGAGATGGAGGTAGCTATCCCACGAATGACTAAATTACATTTCATGCTATGCCGACAGACCGACTTTTCATCGCAGCATAGACTACCACAACAAGAAAAGGAACAAATCCACAGAGATGAAGCACAGAAATGTTACGAATTGACACAGTCCACTGTAGTACATCGAATAAGGTGGTGGATGCAGGTAGTATGGTTCAGACTGTAAAAAAGAAACGGGTTAAATAAGTATGACAAAGCGATAAATCAAACAGCCGGATCTTTTGTGAGCCAAACGCTGTCAACCTAGAATAGAAGAGCGAAAAATGCAAGGGAACAACTACAGGTTTTGTGACAGCGCTATGCAAGTGATCGCAAACTACTGATGTGAAGAGTTCAGAGCTCAACCCTAGCATGGAGTGAAGCAATAACATGGATATATAATGCCGACTATTGCAAACAGTTAGAAAAGCTTCCTACCTCAGTGGCGAACTAAAACTCACTTTAGCAGAGGGAACCGGCGTTCCATCGGGCCAGAGAAGACGGCCCGGTGGGAGTCGCAGCGCATCCGCTTTAAATGTGGACAGGCCCAAATCTACATTTGAGTGACCCAGTGAGATTTGAACGAATTCAGGTTGGAAAGCGTAGACCACAGAAGCATCATCAAATCGAACAGAGTGATTTGGATACAACGAGTAGTTTCCACCGGGAAGGCGATCAAAAGAGAAGTATCCACCGTCGTCTGTTCTGCACTGGGAGCGAAATGTACGAAGGACAAAGTGTCTGGTGAGCGAACGAAGTGCCAATGAGACACAACGGAGATAGCGAATCGAAAAAGGACTTAAGAAATGGTTAGCACACATAAGCAACATTAAAATTGGATGGAGGCAAATGCAGTGCAAACACATAATAGGCAATGATCAGATTCAAGGGTAGTATAAACCACAGTCGGGGTGCAAAACAAGCTCGATCAAAAAGCTTACACTGAGTCGGACCCATTTGCTGTTCGAGTGACATCGAACAGGTAAATGCACTGAGCGACACACTGCGGTGGGTGCAAACGCATTCAGAGTGCTGCTACCGGAGTTCACTAAAAGAACACCGGTTCATGCCCTATACCCCACGGGACTGGTGGTGGTGAATCCTACTAAGCGACATCACGCAAATGATTTGCAACCAAAGAATGGAAGCGAGAATATATCATTCTGGCTTCCGGCAAACGACATATACAGCATGATGCGATGACAAAGTGATAGACAACATAGACTGTATAATCGAAAAGAACTAATAAAGTAGAGAAGAGCTAGATGGTGTCGGATCCAAATAGCGCAACCTACGACCGAATTCGTGCCTGTCTGATGTCATCTGATAAGTCAAGCGAATTAGGATCCGAAACGGGAATGCAGACACTGTCACCAAGTGCCACAATAAATAGACGGTACTTAGTGGGGAGCACGCAAATAGGTAGTTCAAAATAATCACATCGCACAGCCGATTTTGCAACGCTTTGCCGACAGCAGTACATAAAAACCCTAGTTAAATAAACGGGCTGACTCGTCGAACTACTTCCTCGTGATACCGTTCCATCGAAAAGTGCCAGGACGTGGTGGGTTTTTGCCGGACAAGCACTCTCCCCACAAAAAGTTAATGTACGTTTAACAACACTGTGATGTGGCAGACGTGACTCGCCACTAAACAAAGCCACCGCCCCTTGCTTCGCTTAAGCGAAGCATTGCAATTTCACAGCTGGAGGCTGAATTTCTGGGTAGACTGGGCCCCAGTTTGGCAGATCGCCGAATGGACCGAGCAATCGGTCCTCGCCTCCAAGTGGACGCGATTTCCCGACTTCTTTCGTTGCCTTGCGTGTAGGTTATTGTGTCACACGCTCGGGGAAAGAGTCCCCTAAGTTAAGACACTAGCCCGGCCTGGGAAACCAGGTAGTAGTACGCCAGTTGAGAAAAAGCATGGATGTACTTTTGCACGCTTCCGCTACTGCGGCAATTGTCGTTCGTCAACATCTATCACACGCCAACTTTGCACTTGTTGTCAATCTCCGCTCCGTAGATTCTAACCTGATCCCGATTTTGCCGACACCCGAAAAGCTCAACTGATGGCCTTACGTCGACCTCCACCTATGTTCCGACTGGCATCCTTCAACGCACAAACACATATGTAGATTGGTCAACAGGCCGGCTTAGCGTGCGCTCTAGGGTCCCTTGCAATAAAGGTTTGTTGCGCTTCCGAAACCCGGTCGCAGGATTTCAGCGGTGTGCTTAAGCTGAGGTTCCCTTTCGAGCAACTTCGATCCCCTTCGAGCACCTACTTCATGCAACTTACCTTGCTCAGCGAGCCGAGTCTCACTGAGCGCCACAATATCGATGTTGTAGCGCGCCAGTTTCATCGCGGCCAGTGCATTGCGTCACTCGGTGCGCTAACTGGAGTTCAGGTTCAGTAATGTGCGCAAGTTCCAGCACCGAATGCCGAGTGGTTTGCGCGCAGGCATAAGATTGCATTGGTGGGCAATGGCACGTGAGGTGACAGTTGTGCATCGGAGCTTTACTTGGCTTAATAGTCTGACCCACAAGGTATATATATATATATACATATATATATGTATATATACATATATATATACATATATATATATATATATATATATATATATATATATACCGAATGAATTCCACGAGGATCTTCATACCGCTTTTGTACGGTTAACTTAGTGCAGTAGAACGACATTCGAGCAAACCGAAGATAATATTACCAGAACATGAGGAAGGTGAGTTTATGACAAACTCATGTTGGTTTCAGGTGTTGCGAATCCAAGGCAAATTTGATCGATGCGAATTCCGTGAACTACTCAAAAGGGCGGTTTCTTAGGTGCCGGAGAAGGCACTATAGTATGTGGAATAGAAGCACCATGAGTATGTTCCCATTCAATTTACTAATCCAGGCCAATAAGGCGGCGTATGTGGTACGTTTGCCTGCGTGATGAGTAATCTTGCATTTCAGAAGTAGATGTTGCTTGAGCACCCCTGTGTGGATGCGCCTGATGTGAATGTTGACAAGGTGCCTACCTGTCTATTACCCACTACCTCGTCCATACTGGCTCCAAGAGACAGTTGGTCGTCGCTGGAGGGGACGGAGTGCACCGTACTCGTGATTGTGCTAGGCTCAAAGAGTGGTTCCATGCAATCTGTGTGGAACGGGCTACGGTCCAGCCACCGCCTCGTGTACGTCTGGTGTGTATGGTTTCCCAATTAGGCCGGAATGCTTCCGATCTGCTTGTTGAAGGAGTGTGGGCCGGCTCCGTTGATGAAACGTGGCTTCCATCCGCATGCCTCCCGGTCTTATTCCTTCGGGTTTACACTGGATATGGGGTGTGTGGGTGGAACTATGGGTGGTGCAGCGCAAGCCACCCATGGTCCCCTTTGTAGGCGCAGGCGTCCTGTGACTGTCCCCATGGACGTCACAGTGACAGGCAAATTCGGATACGGACGCCGCCAAATCATATATATATATATATATATATATATATATATATATATATATATATATATATATATAGTGTTCAATCAAAGGCGTCAGGGCTAGGGGTCAGAGTTGGAGAAGGGAGGCAATGTGCAGTTTACCCGAATTTTTCTCGCATTGACATTTGTCACGTGCATTCTTAGCAGCCGAACTGATCGGGGTCCACTACACTTCAGATTGGGTCCCGAGCCAAAGGGACTTCGTGTGTCACCATCCATACATAAACGATGGGCACTATAGAATAAACCGAGGATGCGTCCCTAACCGCTGTCCGAAAAAAAACCCGGTAATGCAGCGACGAAATCGTGCACCGGCATCAAAACCAGTCGTGGAATGCAATGCTGACAGTGAACAACAGCCAACAAGTATAAGCTTCAGAAACGGTCCCAAAATGCAGTTCAACCTAAATGGTGGTCCACATTAAAAGTAAGTCACAGTCCATTGAAACAATCGGCCCGTCCATTAATGTAACAAGCAGTAAAGCGAATACGCTGATCATTTGGTTCTAAATTTTTTGAAACCCTATTATCCATCGAACTGTTAAGATAATTCCCTAGCGAATATCATGCGGCTATCCCCACTCACCACGCATATTGGAACGAGACGGAAGGTTAGCTCAGGCCGTGGGCTTGCGGCTTCATCCAAACTGTCCAGGAGTCGGTTACAATCGAGCATAGTGGTATCCACGGAAGTGTCCGCGAGCAGAAGAACCGTTGCACCCACAAGTGGTTGACTTTCGAAATCGACAACATGACCACGGATGAAATGGCCCTTGAAAGAGAATAGAGGCATTCATACAGCAAAACGTGAATAGCACCATAAAGATTCTCCGAAAACGTCACATAAAATTACGAATTCGAAAAAATTCGTACACCGGCGCCTTTCCTTCTGCGACTGTATGCCGCACTGAGAACTATCAGGGAAAGCGTAGTAACACAAAACATAATGATTTTATAGTGACTAGCGTGTTTCCAACTATGTCATTAGGTAAATTCCATTCAAAATCAACAACGCTTCACGCAAAGGTCTCATAACTATCGCCATGAGAAGATGCATCCATGATGTGAAGGACTATGGTCTTAGCTATATAGTCTACTCTTGCACAACCAGTCTTAATGAAAAACGTTTGCAGAAATGGTAGCTAAGACAACCGCGCAGCATAGCACGTGCCAGAAGATGCTCAGACAGACAAAAAGGTTTCATGTATAGGCTAAATTTGGATGCTTTTAGCGAAAGCTCCAAGGCAAATGAAGGAGAGAGCTTACTCACCATCAACATAATAGGCTCCGTGAGAATCACGTTGTCAGAAACGACGGTGATACTAGTTCTAGCTCGAAGGTGCTCCGGTCCACCTCGATCCGTGTCGCTGATAGACAGTTCGTATGTGCCCGGTTGGAGAGGAGCAACAGAGAAGAAACCACCCGGTTGAGTGGTGTTGAGCTTCTCAAATCGGTTCTTCGTCAACCGCACAATGAGACCGGTCGGACCAGTGTTCATGCCGTATGTGACAACCTAGAAGAGGACAGGATGAGCAATAAAGTAAGAAAATAAGTAAAATGAAACGGATGTGGCAATCAGAAGGCGCCGAAAACGGCTTGCTGCTCCAGTAGTCGAAAAGCTGAAGCACTGTATGGTAGAGTGCCATCAAACTTTAGCTACTTTGCCGTTTGATTGTCAAACCGTGCCCGGAAGAACTAATAAATCTAACCAAATGATAGTAACCGAAGTCTGGCGGAGTTGAACAAGAGACCACCGACCTGGGCAGTACACAAGGAACAAGGTATTCCGAAGTGCCACAAAAAAGGGTGCAACATGATACCGTTGAAGAGACTGTTCCACAGCACTCACAAAAGAGCTTCGTTGTGAAAACATAAACGTTTGCACAGCGGCTAAGTCGTCCTGCAAAAGTGTCTCTCCATCCCAGCATGACCAAAGATGAAAACGACTATGCAGGGCCATACAAATCCTGATTGTTGCCGTACCGCAGTAGTGGCTGGACCAATGAAAGTGAGTTCCGTTCACTAGCGCTGCGTTCACTAGTAAAATAGATCCGTCATCATTTGTTTCTTGCCTCAGATTTCAAAAAGACGCTCAATACGTTACGAACTGCTACACAGATTGGAAAATTGATTGAAAGAAGGCACACTTTCCAGTATCATCGTGTGCTCACTCTGGTTCGAACCCGTTACAAGTTACAGTTTGACGTAGGACAAATAGGCGTTGTTCCCCAACACAGGTAGCAGCATGATCTATGACAAATAAGTCGCTTATGGTTCTAACTTCATCCTACATAGCTGAAAGAAAGTAATAGCAAACGAACAAAAATTGGTCATGCACAACAGGGCTTAACACAATCAAACTGCGGTTGGTAGTGTCGCGGCTGAATAATCGTACGGAGCATTCTAGCCCAACTGCTCAGTCGATTGTTAACTGAGATCCAAATAAATAGTGCTGTTTCGGCGAGCTTTTAACGCAATTCCCACACTAACATGGCTCTCGGCTTCAACAGTTGCGTTTCCGGATAAGCGTAGTGTGGACGTGCCGTGGGAGCAAGCAAGTGATGTTATCTGTAAGAATGTGCTGGTGTGTCGTAAGCGGCCTTTACGGTGCAACAACTACCGATGATGATGGTTTCTAAATTGTTAGAAAAAGATGCCTGTGATCCATATCTACTAGACCGTCCGAACACTGAACATGGCCAACTTGAACAATTGTTTGGCACACAAGCAGCCTTGAAGTACCCAATGTCATGGTCGGGAATGTAACTCGAAGTGGCACATTGTTCGAGAGTTGGCATCGGAGGAGGCTTATTGAGAATGGGGCAATTCAAAAACGTTGAACAAAGCATGCAGTAAGTGGTGTGGTAGAACATGACTTTGCGGAGCCGGCGGACAACCCTCCGCAAAGGAAAATCAAGGCAAAAAGCGGAGATAGAGTTCACAGTCTCGTAGGTTGTGGCATAGAGTTTCCGGTTGCCGAGGATGAGGAAGTGGGTTAAATTAGGAGACCTCATCCTGGGCCTTAGTTCGTAAAGCCTTAGCGCGTAAGTTAGCGGGCGATTAATGTGTATCGGGAACCAGCGGGAGCCGTTAACACGACTTTCGAGCAGTAACAAACTATAGCCCGAGTATAGCAGCACATGGACCAAAAATATTCCCTAAAACGGATCCCACTGCTGAATCCGAAGCCGGTCGACAGTCAGGTGACCAATACGCTGTTTTAGTGTTTGAATGGCAGTCTACACAGAAGTAGGTGATCAGCGAGGTTGGTTATCCGCACTGAGTTATGTGTTCACTTCTGCTGGTGGAAAATGTTGCATAGTTGACACAAGCAGACTGTATTTTAGTTTTCTGTTTAGAATTGACCATTTGTTAAGAAGAAAGCAGAACAGCAGTTGAACCACTGACTTCTGATGTGAGCCTTGTCAACCAAAGCTTCTGATCAGAGGCAGCTCGCATCAAGCGGTCTCCGGTTGGGAAAAATGACAGACCCAAATGATAACACTAGGTAACACGATTTTTGTTCCTGTGTACTAAAGTGCTATATTTCAACTACTTGTGCCTAAAATATAAACAACAATATTTATGTTAAGCAGATGTTGATTTCATGACCAAAGCCTCTAAACAATTAGAATGTATAGTCAGTGTAAGCAAAGTTGTACACGGAATTTTCACTCCAGATGTGTAACAGAAAAACTGCATGTACCAGCACTGGCATCAGCAGTTCACCGGTAGGCAGTACTGACGCTTTGCTGCTCACATCGGTTGCACGTGGCCCAAGGATACTGAGTGAGTAGCCCTGCCCCTACGCACGCCCCAAACTGAACCCTCAGATTATAAGTCAGGCTTGTTAACTATAGGCTACGGGCAATGAAATATATAAAGATAGCAGAATAACAAAAAAAGCATACAGAAATGAGTCCATTCAGTGAATTTGTGGCTTACTGGTAGAATGCCCCAAACATAGTCTCCTACATAATTTTCATTATGTGGCCATTGGTAACGAAGCTAGAAGCCCAATATCTTGGTGAAAACGTTTGTCTTGCTCCTCTGAATAAGTTCTCATGCTCCCTTTCATTTTAGCGAGATGATTCTTAATGATATGGAGTTTGAGGGAAGTTCTGCATCACGTTTTGTCGTAGTTCTCTTGACTAGCTGATCGTAGTTTTGATGATTGTGAGTACCCAGGAAGCTGTGAACCACTGCAACAAAACTGTCCGAAGCAGTTTTGTTTGCCCTATTCAGTTTTTCTGGAAAATCAGCGTATTCTGTTATCGCCATTATCTATGGCCTGATGAAGATACTAGCTTCGACCTCAGCTACTGACAACTAATAAAGATGAACGTAGATACTTGAAAGCTACCATACCTCCGTCTGGAGCCGCGATAAATTGTTTGATGAAGCCCAAGTTGATGTGCAATGGTAGCAGTAGAACTTTCTGAGGGTCCAATAGAGGGTATCATTTGACGTGGTTCTTCCCAACTGAGAATTCAGATGGGAGTGGATAATCCCTCCAATGATAATGTGCGCATTAAAATACACATTATAAACATGATGTAAAGTGTCAAGCCAGAGCGCTACATGTGTTGTATTCCGCAGTCTTCTTGTTAAATATAAATGTTGAAAACGCATTAAACCACATGGACAGCGACCTCCGGTCCCGGATTAGTCTGTCACTCTGGCTTACATAAGGGACATGAGTGGTTTGCGCTGCACAAACAACACATCCCATATCCAGTGAAAATCCGAAGGAATAAGACCGGGAGTCATGTGGATGGGAGGCACGTTTCATCAACAGAGCCGGCCCACACTCCTTCCCAGGCAAATACAAGCACGCTGTATTTGGGGAATCAAGCGCACACAAAGCGGTGGCTGGACCGTAGTTCGCTCCACACTGAGTGCATGGAATCACTCTTCAATCCTAACACGGCCACAAGGACCGTGCAAACCGTCCCCTCCAGCAACGACCAACTGTCTCCTAAAGCCAGTATGGACGAGGTAGTGGGTAATAGACAGGTAGGCACCATGTCAAGATGCACACCAAGCGCAGCCACACCGGGGAGATCAAGCAACAGTCAATCACTTGAAATGACAAGGTGAAATAAAACAAATAAGATAATGTATACAGATACGGCGGCATAACTCTTCACTAAATGGGCGCATAAAATAAATTGGTTGCCAACAAATCCGCGATAAGTTCGAGACATCAGAAGATATATTTTAAGGAAACGCCACAAACGCGAAAATGTTATCCAAATTAACTACAATTATCTTCAGCGACGTGTGCAAGATTATAGAAGACAGTACAGGTGGACATTTCTATGAGAAAGAAAAGCAATAAGACAAAATTGCAAACCGACCACCTGAACTAAGGAGACGGTGCACGCAAGCACGCGGTTAGTAAATCGAATAAAGCGTATCTGCAAAAGCTGCGCCGCTTTTGTTTACGTTCTCTGTAGGACTCGCCGTCGCTTCGGTAGTGGTCCCGAGTGGCCTCGCTCATGACTCACTAGGCCTGCATGACTCAGGCATTCGCGATCGCATGTGCTACAGCACCATGCGTTCGGTATTGATGGAGTACAACGCATCGGTGCTTACCGCTTCTTCTCTGCAAATATGAGGTACTTCTCCCGCACTTCTCTAACTGTCTTCGTGATCAGATCGCGCCATGCTCGCCGATCAACCGCTTTCGATTCCCATGACCTGCAATCAAGAGTAGAACGTGAAAGGCTCACATTGATCATATCCTGGTAATGTAACTTTGGGTTCTCCGCATGCCGCTTTCCATTACTCAGCTGACCATATAAGAGTTGTTTCGGTATCCGCGTCGAATCTACACACCACACATCAACCAGCCACCTCAGGCGTCTCAGCAAAAGTATGCAGTCCACTGCATACATCCCACTTTGTAGCAACACTTCCGTGTCAGCAACTCTGTCGTCCTATCCGATGCACAGAACCCGGTGCAAACACTGTTGATGGAACCGCACGAGATATCGCACATCCCGCCGGTACATCGTCCATGTTTCACTGCCGTGTAGAAGAAGGGACAGCACCAAGGATTTGTACACCATCAGCTTCGTGCCAACAGTAAGTCCACTGCGTATCTGCTGGCCAGTCAACACCACACTCCCAAGGTAGCAGAAGCGAGAGGTGATTCCCAATACTTCAGCCCCAATGCTGATTCGCGGCAATATTGAAGATTGTGCCTCCAGTGAAGGCTGAAAGAGACAGACCGTTTTGCTTGTGTTGATAGTGAGCCCGAATTTGGCCGCTGTCGAAGCCAGAGCACTAATCATGTGCTGCAACTCATCCGCGCTGTGTGAAAACAACGCACAGTCGTCAGCAAACTGTAACATAAGGAGAGTTGTCTCACAGACTAGGGTACTCGCACGGAAACTACGGATGCTCAGCAAACCCACCATCAATACGGTGCTCCACACGAATACCGTAAGCACAAGTGGCATCACAAGCACAGGACAACATTGCATGAAGATATATATAAACAGGGCGGGAGCTAAGACACAGCCTTGCTTCACACCAGAGACAACTGCAAAGTCAGCAGAAGTCTCGCCACCCAGCTGCACACTCGCCTGCATATCACTGCGCAAACAATCAATTAAGCTTACAAATTTACTCGAGCAACCTGTTACCTAACACGAGCCACAATGCTGCGCGGTGTAGCGTATCAAATGCAATCAACAAAAAAGCGAGTGCAGCGTCTGGTGTCGTTCTCTGCATTTCTCCTGCAACTGACGAACCGCAAACACCATATCTATAGTGCTGCGACCCGAACGAAATCCACACTGCTCTTCCGACACGTTAGGTTCCACAACCTGACTGACAAGGCGGTTGAGCAGGATTCGGGCAATCACCTTGTCCACACAACTCAGCAAGTTGGTGCCACGATAATTCGTGCAACATTGCTTGCTCCCTTTGTCATTGTACAGTGGTAGCACAAGGGCATCCTTAAGCTCAGCAGGCACATCCTCCTCAATCCACACGCGTTGCACCAAGTGCTGCAGCGCAGTCACCAACGCGGGTCCGCCGTGTTTCAATACTTCAGGTGCGATCCCGTCGGCCCCAGCACACTTGCCGTTTCGCAGCTGAGCAAGTGCTCTCTGTGTCTCATCCAGTGTCAGCGTGTCCGCCAGACTCGTCTTCACATCGTGCTACTGATGCCGTTCAATGTAGGCCAGTCAATCTCTGAACGGTTGTTCAACTGACAGGCACCGTGTTTCCGCCAGATCTGCATGATGTCCGCAGTCTGTGTGCAGGTAGCGCCTGAACTACCATCGACCAGCGTCCTCAGCGGCTCCAATCTCGGTCCATACACCGCCTTCAAGGAGTCAAAGAATTCCTTGTGTTAGCGGCCTCCAGCGTAGCATTCCATCCGCTTCGCTTTCTCCGTTCACCATGCATTTTTAATGCGATGGAGCTCTCGGGTCAGTCGCCGTCGAAGTATGCGAAACTGACTCTTCTTCCCCAAGTCACTGGGGTCTGCGACATGTGCAGCAAATGCTGCATTTTTCCCCGACACCAATGCGCCAATCATCACAGTGTTCTCAGCGAAACTAATCAGGCCGCTTACAGTTTGCACGCCCGATGGTCTTCTCGGCAGCGGCTGTCACCTGGTCGCGAATGTGGTGCCACAGGTCGCCCACTGTGGCTATGCAGTCCACATCACACAGGCGTGCAGCCATCGCATTCTCAAGCACAATACGTTTATCCACTGTACCAAGGGAATGTTACATTTACGCCGATTCACGGCGGGAGTGCAATACATAGATTTACAAAAATATATGTACAGTTTGGTCCGCACCAATTTGTGATCAGTGCCACACTCAGCTCCACGCAGTACACGTGTCATGCGCACTTCACGCATATCACGCTGATGTACGATGACATAGTCGAGCAGGTGAGCGTGACCACTCCGTGGGTGCATTCAAGTTGCTATATCATTCGTACTCAGTGCAAACCGAGTGTTCGTGATCGTCAGGCCGTGAGTGGCACACAGTGAGAACAGCTTGTCACCGTTCGCATTCGCTGAACCAATGCCACGCGAACCGATAACATCTGTCCACACCGATGCATCACGCCCAACGCGCGTGTTGAAAGCACGCAGCAGAAATAGTCGGTCGCTCCTCGGCAAAGACCGTATCACGGAGGATAGCTGAGTGTAGAATTGATCACGCGTGTCATCAGGATAACACATGGTCGGAGTGCACGTGCTTATAAAAGTGGCAAACTTACCTTTTAGGAGTCGTAGGCGAACAGTCATCAGTCGCGCACTGATCCCAGTGGGCTCACCCACACTCTGGCCATGGAGGCGATCGGATATTGCAAATCCGACCCTATATATATATATATATATATATATATATATATATATATATATATATATATATATATATATATATATATATATATAGAAAAAGAGAGAACGTGGACATAAGCGGTTGTATTTCATATCGGATAACTGGTTGAAGTTTTCCAAAATATAGTAATGCGTAGCTGAATGGAACTCTCGAAGGAATTGGTTGGATGTGATACGGTGGAAATCCGTGTAAGAAGTCAGTGACAAACGAGACATTTTGTTCATCAGCCTAGACCCTCAAACGGACGAGACCGCAAAACGATGATAGAGATAAATAAAGATAATGGGACTTGCCTGTCCATAAATGCCGAAGCCCATAATGTAGAAATCAAAGTCCCGAGAGCAAGCATATGGGTCGGATTTCAGGTTGATAACGTGCCCATCTGAAGGGGAAATATGCCAGCCTTTCGGCGCAGCAAGGCGTAAACGACAAGGCTCCCGATCATAGAGAGGCATTGTGAAAGCTCCGTTCGGAAGCACGTCTGTAACATCTTTCAGCGTGTCACCCGGCCCTGAATACAATTGCACTTTGAGATGCTCAAAAGCTATTTTTGTTTTGCTGTTAGAAGCGTCATGCCACCGAATAAAACCACCACAGCCGACCATGGTATCTGCGGAGCAGCACGATGTAGTCCATGACAGGTAGAACATAATGACACCAATTGATGTTACTGGTGCCAGAACAGGAGTTGTTTGTGGCCGTGGGACAAACATCATAAACTGAAAAATTTTAAAACACATGTTAGAACGTATCGTAATTAATGAAAGTCGAAGCAACGAAGAAAACCAGTATACGAAGAAAAGTTTGCAAAATAGATGAACTGAGCTTGTGCAGGTCCAGATCAGGAAACACATGACTACGCCTCGCGAGTCGTGTGTATATATATATATATATATATATATATATATATATATATATATATAAGCGGGAGAGCACATGGTGTGCTGAGACTTGCGGTGGCTATACCTTGACAAATAGGCGACCCACTGCTGCTTGTTGTACCGTGGGCTCATGTGTTGGACGCCTGGGTGGAAGTTTGGTTACGCCCTTCGTTTAGCTAATAGCCAGGACACACCAATCTGCATGAATCAGTGAACTGAGCATGTGCTAGACCCGCTGCCTTTCTGGTATACATTTAATCAAAGGCTTTGGCTGAAAACCCGAGTGGTTCGCCTGTCAGGTGTGGGTGCCGCGCCAGTATCCTAGACCGATAGTATAAAAGTAATAATAATATCACAGTCAAAACCCTATACTCTTCGGATTTTAAGTGGTCGATGGTCCTCCTCCCTTAAAATTTACCCATGGGAGACAAGAGTTCCATGGGTTATAAGCTCACAGCTCGATTGGCGTAGAACACCTCTGGGTGCTCTATGTTATGTTGCTGCCCGCCTCAAGCCAGGCAGTCCCTGGTCAAATTGGTGCAAACCCGCCAAAACCCACGTGCGTCTGGCCGTGGTTGCAGGTGCGTAACCTACCACGGTCACAAAACATATATGAATTGTTCCGGATCTCCAAAGGCTGAGTCTGACGGATCTGAAACAGATCACAATCTGTCTCTGCAATCACATTCCCGAGCTGGATCTGCTCCCCACTGCCTTGTGGGTCAGGCTATTGCGCCAAAGACTCCGGGCGTAGACCCTCAAGCAAACCTCCGAAGCACAACCAGCACCATGCCCGCGATTGTCGACCAATACAATCGTATGCCTGCGCGTAAAGCACATAACATCGGGTGCTGGAACATGCGCACACTACTGTATCGGAACTCCAGTTAGCGCGCCGAGCGACGCACTGCACTGGTCGCGATGGGACCGGCGCGCTACAACATCGATATTGCGGCGCTCAGCGAGACCCGGCTCGCTGAGCCAGGTAAGTGGCATGAAGCTGGTGCTGGCTAAACGTTCTACTGGGTGGGCAACGCCACCTCAGCACCACGTGATCATAGGGTCGGATTTGCAATATCCGATCGCCTCCATGGCCAGCTGGTGGGTGAGCCCACTGGGATCAGTGCGCGACTGATGATTGTTCGCCTACGACTTTATAACCATGAGTTATCCTGATCAGGGATCAGTTATACGCTTAGCTATCCACCGTGATACGGTATGTGCCCAGGAGTGACCGGCTATTCCTATTGGGTGATTACAACGCGCGTGGCAGGCGTGATGTCGTAGTGTGGTCAGACTTAATCGGACTGTATGGCATTGTCTGAGCCAATGAGAATGGTGACCGACTGCGCTCACTGTGCGACACTCACGGTCTGACCACCACGAACACGTAGGTTACACCGTGTGGAAGAGATATAGCTATTTGAACGCACCCACGAAGTGGTCACGCTCAGCTTCTCGACTGTTGTCTACACAAGGTGTAGGCGCCTTGACCCTGAATGTTTGCTTAAGGCATTAAGGTTTTCAGGGAAGTGTCGCTTCTCTCCCACTTATTATTTTTTATTTCATGGGTCATCAGGGTTGTATGGCAGCGAAGCATCAGTTCAACTGGCTGATGCACTGTTGTTGCTCGACTATGTCATCGTAACCCAGCGTGACATGCGCGAAGTGCGCATGACACGTGTATTTCCCGGACCTGAGTGTGGCACTGAGCACAAATTGGTGCGGACCAAATTATGCAGACATTTTCGCAAAACTGTTTTGCTCACTTGTTACGAACCAGCGCAAATGTAACGTGCTTTCCCTAGGCAAATCTTAGAAGAGGACGGAGGTTGAGAAGTCCATGGCTACCCAGCTTTGCGATGTCAAATCCATTACCTCAGTAAGCTGCCTGTGGCATCACATCCGTAAACAGGTGATGGCTGTTGCTAAGAAAACAAACAGGCGCGGCACGATTGGTTTCCTGACAACAGTGCGGCCAGTAGCGTAGCAGTAGTGTGGGAGAAGAATGCAGCGTTCGCTGCGCATGTGGGTGATGCTGCCAATGCAGAGAAGAGTCATTATTGCAAACAGACGGCGACTGACTGGTGGGTTCCATTGCATCAAGAATGCATGTCGGACGGAGAAGGCGAAGCAGATGTAATGCTACGCTGAACATAAGGAATACATTGACTCTTTGAAAGCGGGGTATGGACACACGTTGCAGTCGCTGAGAACGCTGGTCAATCCCATATCAGGCGTTGCTTGCACACAGAATACAAGTAAAATGTGGAGCTGGCGAACGCACTCTCATTGCCTCTTGAACAACCATTCAGTGATTGACTGGGCTATGTTGCAATGGCTGCAACAGTAAGAGATGATCACAATCTGTAGTACAAATTTTGTGCTATCGGAATCATGGAAGAAGAAAACAGGATAGGAATAGAATAAAAGAACATGCACTTTTTTATCTTGCTGTTTACTGTGTTTGAGTCATTTTTAAATTGTTGGTTTTATTGAGGAAGGGAAATCACCGCAACACACAGAGATACATGTCCGCCATTCACGTCGGTCTTGAGCCATGAGTTCCAGGGTCCATAACCAGCGACATTGTATCTCTGAAATCCCAACCAGGGGGTCGGAAACACACGACCTAAGCCGGCTGTTTCATCAGCTTTTTCATGTGACTTATCCAATTTGTAGGTTGTCCACCGTGCCGTCTCTTCTAGCCCTGTCCAGCAACTGCGAACAACGCCTGACGCGGAAGATGATGAGTCTGCATGTGCAGTACGTGTCCTAGTTACCGCAGCGGGTCAAGGTCCTCAAGTGAGTGGCTGCCTCCACCCTATATACGCTGTCGAACCACCATAGTGATTATGTGGTACCGCCACCACACATGGGCAATGGACCGCAAGCAACGGTGCTCTAAGAGAGAGAGTCAGTGCAGGTCAAAGAGGCGAACAGGCCAAGTCTCGAAACCGTATAACGGTAAAGCGCGGATAGTCGCCCAAGAAAACCACCCTTTGATGCATAGACGGTAGCACAAGTACCTCAGCTTAGAGAAAACGAGACGGGCCCTTGAGATACGCATCGAAAGCTCGGCTCCAGCACCTCCACCAGCAGTGATGTAGCTTCTGAGGTAGACAAAACTTTCCACAACCTCCAGTGTCTCAACATCAAGAGTGAGTGCTCGTACAAGCATCTTGAAATAGAGATTTGCACTTGGATAGGGAAAAGCCATCCTATACTTTAACGCTTTAATCACCAAGCGGTTAAGTGCAAGTTGGACGGCCTGTGGACTGTCACTCAGCAAGACGATTACATCAGCGTAGTCCTAGTCAATAAGTGGGCTACTTGGCAGTGCTCAACGAATCTTCCATAGCATAATGAGGACATCCTCAATGGCAAATGGGAAAAGAATGGGGAGAAAGGGTATTTTTGTCAACTCCACTGGTGACAGCAAAGGAAGGGGAAAGCTTGCCATAATCCCCAACTCTATCCGAGGTCAAACTGTACACAGCACGCAGTAGGGAAACAAAATCCCCTGGGACGCCATTCCTCAAGACAGTGTAACAATGCAGTCCTGTCGACAGAATCGAAGGCAGCACGGACAAGCAGGAACACAAGCATCGTTGGATTTTGGTACCCATGGCAGAGCTGGAGGATCTGGCGGAGTGTGGAAATTTGATCGATGAAGCCGCGGCAAGAGCGGAAACCAGCCTGTTGTTCCCGCTGTAGTGATTCCCAAGTTAGGGATAGGCTTCGAATTATGATGGACACTAGAAGGTTTCAAACGATAGGAACATAGCTGATACCACTGTAGATGGATCACATTGTGCGCAGGTCGCTTTCAAAGATGGGGACGACTATCGACCCACCTCAAGATGATGGAACCTCCTCATTCAGTCAGACGTCTGAGAACAAAGCTGTGCGTTCTCGAACTAGAGAATAGCCACCATCATAAATTAGAGCGGGAGGTAAGCCATCAGAGCCGGGTGTTTTATAGGGCTGCTAGAGGCGGAGTTCACGCCAGATTTCCTGGTGAGAGGGAACATCTGTGGGGAAAGAACACACAGCACCAGTGAGCGCTCCAGGGGAAGCAAATAGAGCTGACAAGCAGAAAAACTGCGAGCTAAATGTTCAACAGCTCGTTCCAACCGTCGTCGAAGAATAGTGATCAGTGGGCCATTCTCTTCGCAGATTGTTTCGCTTACACCAGATCGGAAACCTTCGGAGAAGTTAGAAAAGTTTTCTGGTGTTACCAGAGAGACCAGCAAATCCCAGCTCTCTAGCATGTTAACACCACCAGGTTTTACGGTCATTAGGTAAAATGCGTAATTCTCGATAGGAGTACTTCACACAGCTAGCATCGGCCATGACCGAGCAGCCTCTGTGTAGTGCTCGCTGAATGTACGGCTAACCTGCTGCTACAATGAAGTCGAACGACACCAGAAATGTGGTTTGGTTTCCGCTGACCTTACGGATAACCAGCCTGAAAACTGCTGCGCCGCCCAAACCAGTTCAACCCGCCAAGAAATGAGAACACCAAGACCAGTCGGATCGAGGGATTCTGATTCTATTGTATAAGAGTATGGTGTAAGAAACAGGTTGCAGGAAACAACTAACATTACTAAATAGGAGATGCTAATTAATAGTAATAAACACAACCCAAAAGAACGTTGAACTGTTCGCTGAGCTTGCCAATTTTGTTGCAAACGTTTCGTCACCAATCGAGGTGACATCATCAGTGCGTAGTTGAGTGGCGTGCAGTAGTGTAGAGTAGCCTCGGTGAGAGTGTGGTGTGCGTGCGTTTTTATACCGCCGTGGTTGGCCGTGGAGCCGAGCAATCTTATTGG